TAAGAAAGGACTTGTGTCGCTAAAATTTCGTCGGAACGAAGTTACAGAAAATTAACTAACGACTGGAGGCGTAACAATATTAATTTGGCTTGAAATAGTTACATGCAATGGCTGCTTTTGATATTTTTTAATTGGAAATCCCGAAGCCGTATTGCTACTGTCAGGTTTTGTAAGCCGGATTCTCTACAGTAGGTGTCTATGACTTGTTGGCGATAAATTTAAACAACAAACAAACAGCAACACAGTGTATTTGTTTCAAAATAATATATTAAAACAAGTCAAGCGTACATACAAATGTATGTTGACTTTTCATTGTATGTTTGTGGATTTTATGTGAATAGCTATGCAATTGTTTAAGCTATGTTTCCTGCAAAATTGCTTCCAGATTTAATCTTATAGCGTCTATTTTTAAAACAAATTTTCTGGGGGGGGGGGCATGCCTCCAGAACCCTGTAGCATTAGCATGCCTTGCACGTTGATTGTGCTTCGAACAATATGTGTTGGATTTTGATCTCATAAATTAGAACTTCACTTTCAAACATTCTGCATACAGATCTGAACCTCCTTTTTCTTTCTTATAATCAGTTAAAAAGTTATAATTTAGTCACTAACCTTGGACACTTGTTTATTATTTCCAGTCACAAAGTTATGCTGGTTTCAGCTATCATAAAACACTTTATGTAAAACGTCAAGAGCATTCTCATTAAATTGAAAATAAATTTATTAAATTGTTCTCGATCTGTGAACTAATGATAATTATTTTTCCCGATTTATTTATTTGTACTTGAGTGACGAAATTGCACAGAGCTAAAGTTAAAATATTATTACATTACCCAATGCTAATAATTTCTTGATATTGGATCACTAAAATATGTGGGAAATATACTTTTGTTCTTCGAAGTATAAGAAAAACTCGACAACTGATTTTTGAAAGTGCAACAATTTTTTTGTCGGGCGTCTATGTTTGGCTATTATTTCCTTTTGTGAAATAAATATGTAACCAACCAACGTCGTTCAGTGTAAGTCGCTTTTAGACCATTCGTTTTTTTTCTGAAACCCGGTTTCAAAACTTTTTCCTCGTGTTTCTGTAATTACTTAAACTTGTTAAACAATTTGGAAAACAAAAACACTAACCTTCACGGTTGTCAAGCACAAACTTACTGCGCATGCTTGCTGATATTGCATTATGGGGAGTTCCATGAGCACCTGGATATAGGTTCCGAGGCGCTAAACATCTTGAGCAGGTAAACATTTTCCAGAACGAGAAAGATGGCGTTAACTTCACCAAACAAACGGATGCATTTTAAATAGGAAGATCCGAGAAATATTAGATGTTCTTTCTATTATCCATGCATTTTCAATAAACTTTCCTTGTAACAAAAGTTTTTGGTTCATATACGACCACGGACGCCTACTTATCAAATAATATATTTTGATATGGTGTCTCTCTGAGGGAGTAAATTTCGTCAAGAAACCGAAATGAGTAAAAGTTGTACTCGAGCTACTACGAGTGTAATATCACTCGTTACTTGGGTAAGTAAAACAAATACTTGTCTTTGTTTTGTTGTTGTTTAGAGGTTGATTTCATAATTTTACCGAGTTGCATTTAACGAGACATTTTTGTTTCATGTAGAGTGGATAGTTGACAATAATAAAGCGATGCTTTTCCTCGTTAGTGGTGTACACTCGGGATGCGGGCTGTCATTTATTAACTTAATTTTAAAAGCTTTACCGCACTTGACATTTTTTAAACAACATTATAAAAAAAGAGGCGAACTGAAAATTCAGGTGATATAACATAAATGTTTAGTTCCTCGGCGGGTCAGCGGTAAGTTTTTGGATTTTCAACGTTAAAATTTTGGGTTCGATTCTCACGATTGACAGAGCCCGGATAGCCATTTTGTAGCTTTGCACTGAGAACAGAAAACCTAAAGGTTTGGTTAAAAACACAACGAAAAAACAGCAAAAGCACGTAAATGGAACAAAGAATAAGCGTTCTCAAAGTCCACCGACTTTAGTCTCCAGTAAAGCTCTGTTTATCCAGTGAGTTTAGTCTCCTATGAAATCTTAATCTTCTCACTGAATCTAGTCTCCTGTAAATTGGCCTTCGCTTTCTGAATTAATTTCACCAAGCTTTATCCTCTTCAAAGTCTTATCCACTTCACACAACGTTTTTTGTTTTTTTTTAGTTAGCTGTTAAATTCTATTAACTTAAATTCTTAACTTATATTAAGATTTTATCCAATCTCCTTTTTTTTAAGTTGTATTAATGTCCCCGAATTTTCGATTTCGCCTCCTTTAAACTCCTATTCTTCCGTTTGAAATTAATTTCTTTTAAGGCCTCATTTAACTCACAAATTTATTGTCCTGAAAAAAAATCTGTTAACATCACCGAATGTGCCCTTGTGTTGTTTGCTTAACCTTGCGCAAAGCTACTCGAGAATTATCTGCGTTAGCAGTCCCTAATTTAGAAGTGACAGACTACAGAGAAGACAGCTAATCAACATCACCCAACGTCAACTCTTGAGCTACTCTTTTTACCAACGAAGAGTGAGATTGACCGCATAGTATAACGCTACCACGACTGAAGTGGCGAGCATGATTGGTGACAGGAATAGAACCCGTGACCCTCACATTGTGAATTGAGTGCCCTAACCAACCAGGCCATGCCAGGTCTGGGCTCCTTGTATTGTTTTTTTTTGTGTGTGTGTTATTTTAATCATCGCATTGAGCCTTCTGTAAGCTATTACTGACTCCTACTTTGGTATTATCTATTTTGGAGACGTCTGGTGGCACATAACTTTTGTCATCCAATCTACAGTTATAAAAATCATTAAAGCTGATTTGCTCCCAACTGCTTAGCGTTAAATCTGTAGGCTTATAACGCTAAAAGTTGGGTTTCGATACCCGTGGTAGGCAGAGCAGAAATAACTCATCGTGTAGCTTTGCGCTAAACAACAACCAAACTATAAATCTGATTTAATTTATATCACAATATAAAATTTTTACAACTTCTTGCTAATCACTTTCTTTCATTGACTTTCAAAGTCTTTTGTTTAGATTTTTTTCGCAAAGCTACGCAAGAGCCATCTCTCTTGTTAAAACGATATATTAGAGGGAAAGCAGCTAGCTAGTCAATGGTATCTTATTCTTCTTGCTGTTGTTTTAGATCAAAGCTACATTGAACTATCTGTCGTGTCCACCGAGGGGAATCGAACCCCGAATTTTAACCAACAGTATCCACCGCCGACACTTGGATCCCCCTTGTCTGTTCGAACAGTAGGATTTAACTGTCAGTCTTACAGCGCACTCACAGTCCCAAAGTGCATTTTTACGGTAACAGCCCGCCAATCATGTACCCTCGGATTCACTCTCCGCGCATGGTAACCATTAGGCTACGCCCGTCTCGCCTAAACAAATCAGCCAATATATATAAATTATCTGTGTAAAACTTCTCGTGTAAGTTTTATTAATGTCATACACCATCAACGCTGATATTAGACATACAAAAAAAAAACATCTAAATCAAACGAACACGTAAATATTCATCTTAATACATTGACAAATTGTCTATGAATCGTAAACAGTAAATACGTGTTAGACATCAGAGGTGTTATAACGATATCTATCCTGAGATAGTGTAACAACTGAAAAAACAAACAAACCAACAACAACAGAGAACAGAAGAGCAAATTTATAATGCAACAGATGGAAACAACAATGTGATATTGTTATATAACATGTATCACTCCTCGTTGGAGCAAGAACGACACCATTGTCTATTTATTTTACATTTTAAAACGTTGCTTATTATCCAGCGCGCATTTAGATAATTAAAACCACACACACATATATATATATCTACCGAGAGACGAGCTCGGTTCACTCTGACGATAGATCAGGAAACAGAAATCTCCTTATTAAAGTTCGTCGAAAACAAACAGTTTTGGGTTTTACTTTAGAACGAAGTACGACTTTTATGTGATAGTAAACGGACCCGAAGACACGGCTTTATGAAGTACATAAATTGGAGTGAATTTTTGAATTCAACTAGCTAGGTACTTCTGTCTTCATTTGCTTAACCACCGCTACCGCGAAGTTTGTGCTCAAATTACCTTGAAACCACCAATGGGCAAGCTTTTCGAAACAACACTTTAGTGAAGCGCCGAGCGGACTTCCCGCTGAACCTGTTTCATGTACATACATCTACAAGCTTCCCTTGAAGGACGGCAGACATAAGGAACATAAAACAGGCTTATTTTAATATTCCCTCTATTTTACCATATGTATTCCTATATCTATTAGCTTTCTATTATGTGTCTTTCTATCCATGTTTTCTTTCTCTCTGTCCTGTATGAATTTTACATACATTTAAGACTACGTCCTTGCGCTGTCAGATTCTTCATATTTTTGTATATATTATCGTTATTATAATAATGTAAAGTCGTGGTGTTTTGTAATGGTTTCTGTCGCTTGTCTGTTGGATAATTAGCAAATGGGTCTGTACAACTGTATGTCCCTGTTAAGCATTTACCCTTGACTTGGTTTCTTTCTCCAATGGAATAAGAATATCTGCTGACATTAAAGTTTAAGTGATTTTTTCCGTCAAGCATCTAAATATATGCTTATAAATAACTTCTTACAACCCAAGAATTCTCAGACAAACAAACAAAACGTCATCAAAACAGTGATAGATAATAGCTAATCGCAGGACTAAAATTATGATGGTACCGCATCTTCTTCTTTTTGAAAGCTGGTTTTAGTTGCTTTATTTTTTGCATTTCTTGTGGGCTTACATTTACATCAATCGTCTGTAGAAAAAATAAACAAACGTGATATTCCATGCTTTAAGGATAAGTTCACCACAGATTGTACACAATCGCCGCTTGCTACTGCAATAAATATAATAAAAAATGAGCCAAAAAGGCAGTGATGAAGTTTGAAATTTCATCTTGTTATCAAAGTTTCTGTAAGTGTAAAGCACAAGTAATCGTGTTCATTCTATGTAATCAAGGAGAGAAAACAGATTTAGAGTAGGAGTTCGCGTGTAAATGTTGCAGAGGTGAAGAATACAAAATATGTGTGTGTGTCCACCTACTGCTTCTATCGTGTCACATGCAAGAAGGGAAATCCAATACTCTTTATACTTTTATTTTGATTACATCTTGGTGCACGATAGAAGTGGAATACGTTCTTTTTAGAATAATATGAGGATTTTGTTTGTTTGTAGATAAGTACAAAGCTACACAATGGGCTATCTGTACTCTGCCCACCACGGGTATCGTCCACAGACATACCGCTGTGCCACT